CGAATATCTAAGGACTTGTTTATTGAACTGATGAATACTGCAACACGTTTGATGGAATTCAGCTTTAATGATATTATGTATCAACAGATTGATGGAGTCACCATGGGTTCTCCTCTTGGACCTGCCCTAGCCAATATTTCCATTGGTTTCCATGAAAAAGAACTATTTAACAAAGTTACCAGACCTGCTGTTTACTTCTGCTATGTAGACAACACATTTGCCATCTTTAAAACTGAGCAGGAATGTGAGTGTTTCTTACAAGACATCATCTCATTGCAATAGGCTCTCAAATTTACTTTCGAAAAGGAACAACATAACTCTTTACGGTTCCTAGATGATTTAGTTGGAAAAGATGACTCATTTTCTCACCAGTATATACAGAAAACCTACCTTTACAGGACAATACACACGATGGGATTCTTTCAGTCCCAAAACAAGCCTCATTGCTACTTTAGTCCATCGTGCTCTAGTTATCTATTCAAAATCTAAACTAAATTTCGAATTGAAGACAATTAAAACTATTTTAATAGAAAATGGGTATCCAGAAAACGTAATCAATCAAATTACTTCAAGGAAAATTGTGAGCTTCTCAACTGATCCAAAATTTGGTCCTAAAAAGTGCCCAGTTTACCTAAAAACTACCATGGATTGGTAACATTTCAACAAAATTTAAAAAACAATTGAAAATGGCCATAACTAAATTTTTCCTACAGTTTTCCTACTGTGCTTATGCCACACGTAAGTTGTTGCCTGCAACACACAAAGATGCGATACCTATCACACAGAAAAGTATGGTTATTTATGAATTCTCGTGCCACTACGAATGTCGGTACGTAGGTCGCACTTCACAAAGATTGCAGGATAGAATTAAACAACATGTACCCACATCCATAAGAACTAAGAGTGTGAAAGAAAATAATTTACCATGTCGCTCCTGTAAAACAAAAGTTCTACCACCAAAATGTGAATCACCGATTTGCCAGTATTTACTAGTGAACCCGACTTGTCCTGACAACTACACGGATAGCAGGTTTAAAATTATTGCAAATGGTCGGTCAACCTTTCATCTCTATATTTTGGAAGACACCTTTATTAAAACACATAAACCTGTCCTTTGCCACCAAAAAGAATTCCCATACAATCTACACATCCTTCAGTATGTCTGTGACATTTCCTAATTGGCTAATGGACTTGCCAATCAGTGACTGCCTTACATGGATATGACTCATTTTATAAGCTATACTAATTCCTATAAATCATTTCCCAGACGGTTCTGCTATAATTAATGTCTGGTGAAAAGCTTCAGCAGATATTTCTTTTGCAACATCTCAACCAACAATTGGTTCAGTTATCAACGCTATTTGAGTTTTTAACAACTCGACTTTCAAGATCTACATATCTACTAAACATTTGTGACTGTTTCTCTTAACATACAAGTTTATTTATTACTTTACACAGAGCTCTGATAAAAATTAAACCAACTTTGAACATATTTTCCACAAACTAGATGATACCTGGAGTTCATTCTTCAGGTTAGTGTTTAAGTCCAAGCTAGAATTAGGTGAGGTAAGGCTAGGAAAATCTAATGGGCTGTTCAAGGATGCAAGGGAATCTTCTCCAGAGTTGACTTGTTGTGTTACTGACCCAAGTTTCATATTAGACAGACTGAGAGTGGGCCGACTGTCAAGAGTTTACATATTTCAAGTTAATTATGAACCGCACACAGTTACTTTTATTGAAACATTTAATTATTTGATTAAACAAGATATATGAATGAATAAAAACTACATAAATCTATGCTATTTACTAACAGCTAAAGCCAAAACAGAAATAATTTAATACAAAGAATACCTGAGAGCACTTAAGTGAGTGAGTTGGTTTGTGTTGAAAAAGGATGAATACAAAACAAACATTTTAAACATGATATGGACAAATATGCAGTACTCAAACAGGAATTGTAGCTGCTAACAAATAAAATTGGTTTAAGAGATAAAGAGTGACTACTTTATTCATTTTTAAGTACCAGCATTATACTTCACAAAACATGTTTTAATTTTCTTTAAGTTTTATTTTTGAACTGCCTGATGAGGGGAATTTTTTTCAATTTTGTTAATTGTCCCTTAGCCGTGAGTGATTCATCTGTTGCACCGAACTGGAGCTTTGGAAAATACACTGTAAACATCAGGTCATGTAAGAAACTACACAAACAGTTCAGAACAGGATGAAGATCTCGATAACAAGATGATGAAGCTAGAGCTAAGTGTACCACTGTCAGGATTCCACATCCTGTTACAAAAAATACAAACATTAATGTTTAGACACAGTTTCCAACTATCTCGGATACCGAGACTCATGTGTCCATAAGATTTAAACACAATAAACACCTGTTACAGAAAATACAAACATTAATGTTTAGACACAGTTTCCAACTATCTCGGATACAGAGACTCATGTGTCCATAAGCTTTAAACACAATAAACAGATATAGAAGTAGTAAACAAAAGAAGGGTATCACTAGACCATCTTTCAACAACAGTGGAAACAAGCTGAAAGTAGAAACTGTAAGGAACCAGTTAGTGACTTGTAGATGTTCATGAATCAAAAGGCTGACTGGAAGGACAGCTAAAAGAATGCTTTTCTCATGGACTTGAAAAGAAAATAGAAGGAATATCATTGCCAAGTTAATTAAAGCAATCTTGAATCCTTGAATCTATGCAATAATTGTTTACCAACAAGTAATTGAATGCAAACCTCAGCTCCACAGTTTGGCACGCTAACCACTAGGCCTCACTAAGCCCTACATTAGAACCTTTTTTTATATAATATATAATTCTATCAGTCATTAAAACCCACTCCACGGCCTACTATGAAGTTGCTAATGTAACATACAAGTTTTACTTTCATACCTTCAATATCTAATTGTTACCAGCAATGGAATCACCAATACAATGCACAGGAATATTTTAAATAAACTTTCAGCTCTCACTATACTGATTTATGAAAAAAACTCTACCAGATTTTGTTTGACTAGGCTTATTTCAAACCATTATGCATCACTGAATTTTAAGTTAACAATTAAACTTGTATGTATGATGTAAGTCTGAATTAAATATTAACAAATTTGTATACATAAAGTCTGGATTTTATATTAACAAATTTGTATGTATAATGCAAGTCTGAATTTTAAATTAACAATTAAACTTGCATATATGATGTAAGTCTGAAATTTATACCAACAATTAGATTATTATATATGATGTACTTTACATTACCAATTAGACATGTATATATAAGTTTGACATTTAAATTAAGAATTAAATTTGTATATATGATGCAAGTCCAAAGTTTATCTTAACAATTAAATTTTTATGTACAATGTAAGTGAATTTTACATGAACAATTAAACTTGTATATATGATGTATTTTACATTAAGAATTAAACTTTTATGTATGATGCAAGTTAATTTTACATTACTAATTAAACTTGTATATAAGATGTATATTACATTAACAATTAAATTTCTGTATATGCTGTAAGTCTGAATTTTACATTAACAATTAAATTTGTAAGCATGACTTAAGATCTTATTTTACATTAAAATTTAAACTTGTATATACAACGTTAGTTTGAATTTTACATCAACAATTAAACTTGCATGTACAATACAAGTTTGAATCTTACATTAACAATTAAATTTGTATGTATGATGCAATTCCAAATTTTATATTAACAATTAAACTTTTATGTAGGATGTAAGTGAATATTACACTAAAAATTAAGCTTGTATATACAATGTATTTTACATTAATAATTAAATTTGTATAATGATGTAAGTCTGAATTTTACATTAACAATTAAACTTGTACGTATAATGTAAGTTTGAATTTTACATTAACAATTAAACTTGTATGTATAATGTAAGTTTGAATTTTACATTAACAATTAAACTTGTACATACAACGTCAGTGAATTTTACATCAACAATTAAACTTGCATGTACAATATAAGTTTGAATCTTACATTAACAATTAAATTTGTATGTATGATGCAAGTCCAAATTTTATATTAACAATTAAACTTTTATGTAGGATGTAAGTGAATATTACACTAAAAATTAAGCTTGTATATACGATGTATTTTACATTAATAATTAAATTTGTATAATGATGTAAGTTTCAATTTCACATTAACAATTAAACTTGTATATACAATGTAAGTCTGAATTTTACATTAACAATTAACATTGCATGTACATTCTAAGTCTGAATTTCATACTAATGATTAAACTTGTATATACAATGTAAGTCTGAATTTCATACTAACGATTAAACTTGCACGTACGATGCAAATCTGAATTTTACATTAATAATTAATCTTTCATATATGATCTATATCTGAAATTTACATTATCAATTAAGCTTGTATATATCATGTAAATCTGAAACTTATATTAACAGATAAACTTGTACATATATTGTAAGTCTGAATTTTACATTAATAATTGAACTTGTACTTATAAGTCCAGGTCACTGATTAAGCTATGTAGTTGTTTCAAAAGTGGGCTAATGATTGGATGTGTATGAATGGTATACGTAGGTAAGTTTAAGTCACTATATGTAACTGTTTAACCCCTTCCAGGTCAGAAAGGTAGCACTGGCATCCTTTAAATTTTTCCTTTGTACAAACAGAGAAGAAAACATGAATCATTACATTCTCAAGGGATGATATTTTCTTAGCAAATATAAACCTAAACTTTGGGATCAGTAGAAAAATTATGAAAACTGATAAATGCATTATTTACAGGTGAGACTCCTCAAAGCTGTGAAGAAATGAAAGTTGAGACTTTTGTATAATTTTTCTTTGCAACCTACACTAAATAATGTTACAAAATAAAAAAATATCAATACTAAAGTACTTTTGAGTTACAAATTGTTGAAATAGAGTTACAAATATATTTTTCATTTAAATAGTTAAATTTGATTCCCAGCACTCCACAAATTTGATCTTGTTTGTTTTTTAGTTACATCAGCAGCTATACATTTCCAGTGACAGGATAATTATTAATAGTTACAAGAATGAGTAACTAATGGGTAGAATATGTTTAACCATTGTCAGATTTGTTTACATTTTTTGTACATCTGCAACTGGATTCACTTATGTGAATCAAAACAACATACTTTACCAACCCCACCTCACCTGCAAGATTTTCCATAAAATAATTTCTTCATCAGTTGACTAACTGTTAGCTTTGAAATACGACAAACAACAATATGTAGCTATATTATGAAAAAATATAACAACACTAAAAATAGTTAAAAGAGTTTAAGTATAAGGTTGAAACACTGATTGTGATTTTTAACATGCTTGATTATTAAAAACTAATATCATTATGTTTATCATCTACAATACGTTTGTAATTATACTTTCTCTAACTATTACAGTGAAATATGCATTCATTGCAACTTTAACACAACTATGACAGAGCATTTTATTGTACCTTGATTTTTCAGTACCCATTTCTCCTTTTTCACATTCTAGTAGCATTTTGGTTCTCTCCATATAGTCAAGATGAGTTTTAAACAGCTGTAATAGACATACATATATGACAATGATATTTCTATTTTATTAAGTCAGTACTGTTAAGTTCTAAACATCAAATCAGTATGGTTGAAAAACAGAATATACTAGGTACACTATGCCCTACAATCTATACAAAACTAAAATGGCTATAAAACCTAAAAAATCTAAAATACATCTCTACACCTAAACCTCATAAGTAACATCTGTACATTCTAAAGTGTATCTTTAACATAAACATCTATAGACCCTGGAGCTTGTTAGTAGCAAAAGCATCCATATATTCTGAAGCTCCATTGTATCTAAAATATCCATACACCCTGAAGCATCACTATACCAAGAACATACATACACTCTAGAGATCCACTGTACCAAGAACATCCACACACCCTGAAGCACCATTGTAACAAGGACATCCATAGACCCTGGAGCTTCTCTGTAACAAGAACATCCATGGATCTTAGAGCTTCTCTGTAACAAGAACATCGACAGACCTTAGAACTTCTATGTAACAAGAACATCCATAGACCTTGGGGCTTCTCTTAACAAGAACATCCATATACCTTGGAGCTTCTCTGTAACAAGAACATCCATAGATCTTGGATCTTCTCTGCAACAAAATCATCCATACACCCTGGAGCTTCTCTGTAACAAGGACATCCAAAGACCCTGAAGCTTCTCTGTAACAAGAACATCCACAAACAGTGGAGTTTCTCTGTAACAAGAACATCCAAAGACCCTGGAGCTTCTCTGTAACAAGAACATACATACACCCTACAGCTTCTCTGTAACAAGGACATCCATAAACCCTGGAGTTTCTTTGTAACAAGAGCATCCATAAACCCTGGAGCTACATTGTAACAAAAGCATCCATAAACCCTGGAGCTACATTGCAACATGAACAACTCTATACTTTAAAGACTCTCAGTAACAAAAATATCATTGCTCTCTTGAACTTCTCTCTGCTTGCATGTCTGTATGTTCTGGAGCTTCTCAGTACTGAATACACTTATATGATCTGGTGCTTTCTCACTAACACAAGTGTCTACATACCTTGAAGCTTCTTGTTTAAAATAGTTTCTGCTTATTCTGAAGTCAAAAATAGCTGTTTATTTAGAAACTTAACATAATCTTTAATAATAACTCCCACAGTTTTCACCTTTATTTACAACAAAGCTTTTAAAAGACAGCACATGTATGCTTTGACGCTTTTTTAATAATATCTGTAATCCCAAAGATTATTAGTAGCAAAATGACTGTAAACATTAATTTTCTTACTAACAAAACAAACTGTACAATCTTAAAAGAAAAACATTTATGAATATTTTTAATCAACAGATGTAATTTTAAAAACAAAAATATTTGTATATACAATGAAAGTTTAAAATAACGATAAATATTCACCTCAGAGTTTGTAACTAGCAACAATATCTACTAAAAGCTGGTGAGAAGCACTAACTTTCAGATACACCAAACTTTTGTGTATTTGATTTATTCTACAGTAATCATGTATTCAAGAATACTGTGTAGAATAAAGTATTTGTATACAAATACAGTAACAGGCACAATGAAATAAACTAACACAAATATATGATAAATAGCACAATAATGTTATTAATAACACAGTATATAGTGCTTATTTGATACACAGAAGTTAATGTAATTCTGGTAGATACTCATCACCAAACACACAACAGCCATATTCCTCACACTTCTGACCAAGAGTTTTGCATGCCTCTAGCCTTGAGTTAAATCCCACCAAAATATACATGTTTAATGTGAGCTGCACAGGTGTATGATGACATGTGACAATAGCTCTAAACCAATAGGACAGTAACACAACCTCCATATGCAGTAATACCCCCTAAGCACTTGCACTCGAGATATCTTCATTCTTAGATGAAGCAAGAAGGAAATGTGCACCAGAAATTGGAAAGTCAGATGGGAATTTGTGAAGAGGAAGTGAATATCTGTTGGAAATACATTTTCAGATTAGGAAAACATTAACTTCCGAGATAATATCTCACAGAACAGCTAAGATCCTACAATGAATTGGAGGAGGAGCTGGGGCAAAATTTAAACATAGATGAGCTTCCTTCAGAATGTACTTGAAGGGAAAGCCCATGAAGTATGATACCTGATAGCAGGGGCTCCATAGGGGCACACATACGTCGGAGATCACATCTTGTCTCAGCCACAGCAAACTCTTTGCCCAGACTGTAAAAGGGGAAGAGGCAACAGATCCCAAGTGTCACAAGGATGGGTCCCTGGAAGAAGAGGGGTCCCAGGGTAAAAACAGACATTATCAGGGACCCTAAAAGGAAGAGATGCATGCTAAGTAACACCAAACAGCCTGAAGTGAGCGTGGGAGTCAATCCAGGCCTGAACAATCACTGAGGTGAGAGATGTAAGAAAGGGAACTAGGAGAGAATGTATGGTCATCTTCCTGAATGGCCAAAGTCTCAGGAAGGAAAAACCTGTCTGAGTAGAGGAGCAAGTGCAATGGAAGAGTATGAGAGAAACATACACAGCATAGGTATCTGAACAACACTGGCCACAAGCAAGAAGGAGGAGGAAATAAGTGTTAAGAGAAAGATGGTACAAAGAACAAGAAGCCAACAACTCGAACAGGGCATGCGTGAGAACGCGCAATACTTTGAGGTCCCAGTCAGGCATGGGAGTCGGGTAAGGTGGATGGTGAAGAAGGAAGAATCAGAGAAGAGTGGAGAGGACAGGGGAAGAAAACACCCTTTGGTAATGGGAAAGGCAAAATTTAGTGTATAAGACCACCCATTAGAAAGCAATGGTGGAGACTGACAAACCATGCTTGAACAACCATGTAAGAAAGGCAGAAAGGTGGCTCACACTAGGATGGCCAGGAGTGAGGAAGTAGTGAATAAACCAATGATGAAAAACCCACCACTTACACTGATAGACAGAAGTAAAGGTTAACAAGAATGGGACAAGAAGAGAGTTACACAATCAAAGAGTTTAGCCTGAAGAGCAAAGAACCAGATAAATCCCACACTTGAAGATGTAGAGATGATACATAGGAACACAGGAAAAGATGAGACCACTCCTGATTGAGGGCATCGATAGCCAGAGCCAAAGGATGAGAAACCAAGGACCATACAAGGGGAAGCTTGGAGCAAAGGCATTTATGAGGGGTGTGCCTAACCAAGTGCAGACCCAACAAAAAATCGGGGGGACCACTCAATGGATAGAGTGCAATCTGGCTGACAGAGGTGGTTTGCCATAAGGTGCTAGCTCCATGCATTATAAGCGAGATGAACTTGATGGGAATGAGCCCAGAAGAAGAGACCTAATGTACATAAGCAAAAAAGTCCTGAAGTGTGTACCTCTTGATGGTTGATGCAAGAAATGAAGAGGTAGAAAATGGGAATATGCCCAACAAACAGCAAGAAGTTCAAGTACATTGATGTGGACACATCCTGGGTCCAAATGCTAAAAGCCATGTCATCATTCAAAGATATGCCATAACTCAAGAGGGAAGAATCTATGAAGAGATGGAAATTCAGGCTGTGGGTTGGTAAAAAAGTGCCAGATGTACAACTGAAATAATCTAGTCACCATGACAAGACATTGGGAAGAAGAGAGAGGAGATTCACAATCAAGGAAGAAGGATCACGAGAAAAATTCCACTGGACTTGCAAGGTCCACTAGAGGGGTCACAGATGTGTATGTTCTAAAAGAATGAATGGTTCCAGGGAAGCCCGGGTCCCAAAAGTGGAAGAACCTCTCAAACAGGATGAAAACAACAAGCACAAATGTTGGCAACCAAACATTCTGTAGCCCATGAGTTGGAGAAAACACCCAGATGAACCAAATATTGCATTGGCATGAGAAAAAACTTGGAAATCTTGACAAGTCATCCCAATTGAGCAGCTTCCTGTAAAAGATGGGAATTATGAGAAGAAAATATTTCTAAAGAATGAGCCAAAAAAATCCAATCATTCGTGTAAAAATAAAATATTTGGTTTAGATAATCCTGAGCTAACTCAGTGAGTAAAATATTTCTACATTGCTTTCACAGTCCACACACACATAATAACCAATATAATATATATTACCTAAACCTTCCTCAAACTGTTCATCATTGTCTTTATCTTCATCATAATGTGCAACAATAAGTAATAGTCATGTTTGTTCCCCTTTCAACATTCACAGACAATTTATATCAAGTATTGAAACAGCCAGGTATACTCTAAGTACTACACTTGTTCCCCTTGCAATGTTCACAAACAGTTAATACTATATGTATCAAAACAGACAGGTATACTATAAGTACTACACTTTCACCTTCAAATTCATACAGTTTATACAACAAGTATCAAAACAGACAGGTATACTATACCTCTGTATATCTCTCATGAAGTTTTGTGTATTCTTTCTTCATTTCACCTTCTTTCTCTTCTAGTCTTGAAGCTGCCATCAGAACCAAACACTTTCAGATACAACTCCAAAACACGCTAATACATTTTCATTGTACTTTCTTTCATTATTCATAATGGATGAAAATATCCTTAAAATTCTATGTATATCTACAACACAAAAGACAAAAATTTTACACATTTCTTTGGGTATAAATTACATTCAATTTGTATTTTCTATTGTTAAACCATTTAGTTTAAATCAATTTAAAAACTTCTTTCCCCACTTCAGTTTTGTATGATAACATCCACAAGTTACCCAGGTCAATCATGTTGAAAATTAATCAGTATATTAACACTCAAAACAAACTTCAGAGAATAACTGAAATATACAATTTTGAGAGCATCTTCTTCAACAGAGGAGGTTAACCCCTAGTATAAAAAAACAATAACTTAAGTTAGAAAGGGTTGCAACAAAATTATAGAACAAATGGAATATACAATTATAGAAGCATCTAACTTAAAGCAGGAATTAATCCTTGTTTAAAAAATCACCTTTTAAGTTAGCATGGGTTACAACAATAATATAAGCCATTATATGACACTTATTAATGATGAATTACTTGACCAATTATCACCAAACCTGGCATGTACCTAATCCCCCTATGTCACCCCCTGAAGATTCCTATGTCTTTCACTTGCATTGAATGGGTATATCAGCTGGTTTAAAACAACTAGAAAATAAAATTTTGAGAATATCTACTTTAATGGAAGGGATTAAACCATTATTTGAAAACTCATATTTAAAGTTAGTATAGAATACAATAAGAATTGCAAGTGAGTGATTAGTGGAATTTGTTAATTGATTAATCACTGCTTTCATTAATTGCTTGTATTCAATTAATGAATTCTTCTCATGAGAAGGCTATAACAAACCAACCAATCCATTATTCTCCAATGAAGCATCTTAAAAAAAAATCCTGAAAATTGGTTTTTGAAGAAGTCTGAAAGGCAACACCCAGGCTCAGAATTATGAACATTCATCCTCACTCCTCAACCGAGTGGGCAAGGAGCATTCCACATGCCCTTGGAATTATGGAGAGGATGTGGAACATTGTGCTCAACCAAGGACCCAGAATGGGACCACTCCATGTTCAGAATTATAAGGAGATAGTAGACCTCCTTCCATGAACAATATACTAATCTGATATTCATCAAAAAGAAGGGCCATGCACATCCGAAGCAGATAGCTAAGCATCAAATCTGAACCGGTATGACAAGTAGGCTCCCATGGAGGATAGTGCCGCTCCTACCAGCATC